TTTCTAGAAACACTAGAGCTACATGGGGTATGCCAGGGAGGAGGGATCAAAGAAGGGTGATTAAATGGAAGGACCTTCCGGATTATGACGCTACATGGTAGTCGTACGAGAGGATGCAACATCAATTCCCCACTTTTCACCTTGAGGACAAGGTGATTCATTGGGAGCGGGGTATTGATAGACCGGTCCAGGATGAATTGGTCCAGCTAGCCCAAAACAAACCTTATATACAGCAAGCGGAAGCCTGTTGTTTCCGCCTAGGTGGGGCACACAAGTTAAGTATAGAGGGGGGAATTAGGAGGGAATTTTAAATCTTAGAAGGGCTATTTTGTCTTTTAAGAGTTTTATTTGTGTATTTTATGTAGTAGGTTGGGATTAGGGTTAGGGCTATTTGGAGTTTCCTGAATTTTTTTGGTGCTTTAGTGTTCTTGGGCTCTAGCAAAGTCTAGAGATTTGAGAGAAATAGATCATCCTCTTGAATTGAGGATCAATTATATCTTACTATTTTTTCCATCTATTATTAAATCAAGAGTATTTTTCTTGTTTTTCCTCCATTAAATCCTCAAAACCTGCATGGCGGGATTTTTGAAATTCTGATTTCAGCAATTGTTTTCTGTTTCTACTACTATTTCTTATCAAATTATCAGGTCTAGTGTGAGCCCTTTTCCGGCATAAGGTAAGCCCTTTTTCGGCCCAGCACGAGCCCCTTTCCAACCCAGTATTATTAGTGAAAAAGGACAATAGTTGAAGGTTTTGTGTGGATTATAGGGCCCTGAACAAGGAAACTATGTTGGACAAATTTCTAATTCCAGTAATTGATGAGATGCTGGATGAACTGTTTGGGGTTGTCATCTTCTCAAAGATTAACCTGAAATCAAGATATCACCATATCAAAATGAAGCCAAGAGATGTGCATAAGACAACTTTCAAGACTCATGAGAGACACTACGAGTTTTTGGTGATGCCTTTCGGCCTTATCAATGCCCCAATCACTTTTCAGTCCCTCATGAACCTGATTTTTCAACCCTACCTCAAAAAGTTTGTCTTAGTGTTTTTTGATGACATCCTAATCTACAGTCATACGGAGAAAAAGTATATGGGCCACCTGAGGACGGTGATGGAGAAGTTGAGGGAGCACCAGTTGTATGTCAACGTGAAGAAATGTTCGTTTGCACAACCACAGGTGGAGTACCTAGCACATATGAAGACCAGTGTACCAATGTTAACACTTTCTGACATCAGCAGGTCATTTGTGATGGAGACAGTTGCGTCAAAGGCATAAGTGCTTAGCCAAGATGCCAACAGTGTTGCTACAGTCCCTAACCCTACTAAAGAGGGTACGGGAGGAGGTGACATGGATTTTATCGAGAAGTTGCCACGATAACAGAGACTTGTGGTGATACTAGCAGTAGTGGATCATTTGAGCAAATATGCACAGTTCATCCCTCTGAAGCACCCATACACCGCAGTCTCTGTGGTTATTGCTTTCATTCGAGAGGTGGTGCGCTTGCATGGATTTCCATAATCCAATGTGTCAAACAAAGACAATGTGTTCCTTGGCCACTTCTGGATAGAGTTATTCTATTTATAAGGGACAATCCTAAAGAGAAATACAGCTTACCACCCCCACATAGATGCCCAGATAGAAGTGGTGAATAAAAGTGTAGAGACCTATTTGAGATGCTTTGTATCAGACACGTCGAAGAGTTAGGCAAGGTTGATTGCTTGGGCCGAATATTAGTACAACACATCATACCATTCAGGAGCACAGACCACCACTTTCAGGATTCTCTATGGGAGAGATCCACATCATTTGATTCATTATGGACAGAGCACTAAATGTCACGACCCAACCTAAATGCTCGAATTAACGATGCGGTAACAGACAATTGGACGGTTGATTAAATTTTTAATTACTAACTATTTTCAATAATTTAGAAAGAGCCACTACAACCTCAAAAAATATATAAATAACTTTCTCTCGGGGCTCGCGCTTACGACAAATCTCTTCTGCTCATTTTAATTAATAGAATTATACCTGAAAATGTCATTGGAAATAAAAGTGATTTATAATGAACTTGATGAGTAAATCATGCATTTAAATTATAGTAACATAAGGCATTTTAAACAATATGCATGCTCATTTCTAAACAAAAAAAAAAAATCCATTTAAATTCATTTCAACATGACCATCAATGTTATTCATTTATCACATCTTTATTATTATTTTTATTTTTTCTCGTAAATAATACAACCATCACAAGAGCCACTATCTAAAATAGTACCAATGAAAGTTTTCATTTTTCCGTTTCATTTTCCATAACATTTTTCATTTACATGCACGGATATGTTGCGTCCCTAGCCATAAGGGGGTGTACACCATCAGTCAACATGCACATACAAATATTTCTATATAATAATTTCATTTCAATTACCATTTAATAACTTCTATAGTGCATATGCTGAACATTCATGTTATCTATCAAACAATTCAATGTGATCATTCAAAAAAAAGAAATGTTAGAATTTTACAATTATTATTAACTACCCAATATCAATTAATTCAATGAACTTGAATTAAAGAAACAACATCACTACTATAAAATATAAGCATAAATACTCACCTTGAAATCGAATGCCTTAATAATTCATTTTAGCCACCAACCTCTCATAAACTTAACACATATATAATATTATTTGTAAATATTAAAAAATATACAAGTATTTCAATAATTAAAATCTTAATAATAAATTACTTTCTCTCTCTCTTTCTCTCCAATTAGCAAGTTAAATCACTGTTAGACCGGTCCAGCCGGTCCGCACAGGACCGGCAGTTCGCAAAGAGCGACAAATCTCCACCTCCTGCGGAGATCGAGCGGCCCGACCAACCCATTAGAGCATTTTAGGAAGCATTTTTTAGCGTTTTGAGAGGGAAATTTGAATGTAGGGACTGTTTAGGGATTTCCTTTTGATTTGTATGTATTAAATAGTTGAATTTACGAGGGTTTGGGCATATTGAATTTGGCTGAAATTAGAGATCTCTTAGATTTAGGTTTCTTTGGGCTCTAGCAGCGTCTAGAGATTTGGGAGAGATCGATCCTCCTCTCGAATTGAGGATCAATTGTATCTTTGCTGTTTTATTCATCATTTATTGGAATACAAGTCTTTTCTTGGTTTTCTCTCAGAATAGTGTTGTTCTTCTGCTGTCAACAGCAGATTTTTGCTGTTTTTCGGTTCTGGACAGCAACTTTGTCATTGTTGGATCTCCGATTTGGGTTAGGATTGCTTGCGAACTCAAATATTACCTTAGGGTTACTTGCGAACTCAAGTATTTTCAATCAATCACATAGTTTCTCTCATAATTAATTGATTTCTAAAAGCACTGAATTTTAAATTAATAATCTATTCTTCTCGCATTATTTTTTGAATATGGAGAATGTCACTTTAAAAGAAAAATAATAATCAATTAATTATTATTAATATCTAAAATAAACTTTCTATATTTAATTACCTTCTCGCTCTAATTAAATAACTAAATATACTTTCATTTTTTAATATGATTTATCTTTAATTATCTTTAACTCATAAAGTATTTATTTTTTTCTAAATCTAATTTATAATTTAACATAATATAAGTTTAATATATTCCTTATTAAATTTGAAATCTCATGCAACATTTAATTATGTTCTTTTTAATTAATATTTATACTCATATCAATATATATACATTATAATTAACTAATAAAATTTTCAGTTTTAATATTTTCTAAATTATATTCAAAAGATAAAAACTTCCTTAATAATATCTAAAAATTCATAATTCAATAATTTCCAATAGATAATTTATAATAGTATTATTATCTAAATTGATTCTTTGATTTACAATTTAATAACACTAAAATAATTTTCTTAACTTTTCAGTCTATGCTCACTGCTCGATTCCTCACTTGTCACTAGCCTCTCTACACTCGCCGCTAAAATCATGATCTCTTCCCTGGTGGTTTGCTCGTAGGTTTCATATCCCTTTCTCTACTCATTTCTTTCTTTCATAAAGTGTTTCTTCTATTCGTGTGGTTAAAAAGGAATGAGCGAAACAAGGTTATCTCACACAAAGAGTCACTACCTTTTGCATTTGCACGCGATTCCTCGCTCATTCATATAAGTTCGGCCCCATCAGATGCTCCCGCGTCCATGCTTGATTCGCTCAACTCGCCTTTTTTGTCTGTTATTTCGTTCGGTCCCTTGCTTGTTTGTTGCTTAGGGTCAGTTCAATTGAATCAATTGAGCTCAGTTCTTACAATCACCACTTCTTATAAAAATTGTCCTAGAAATTTACATATGACTTTTCGTTACAATATACAATTATGAGTTAAATAGAACATAACTACTCGATACTTACAAAAAAAATCTTTAAAAGGTGTAGAGAACTTCGTATAGATATTATAGTGGAAATATTCCATATATTGTAATAGCATCGAAAGAGATATAAGATGTTGCAAAGAAAGAACAATGAAGAGGAATCATTCAAATCAATTCATTCATAATTTAATAATTCAAATAATAATTATTTAATCTGCACTTATAGAAATAGGGTTATAATATAAGATCAAATTAATTTGAATTCAAATCTAAACTCCAAAAAAAACCTTATCTTATTTAAAATGAAGATAATCTTAACAATTAAATGCAAAAAAATAAAATAAATCCCAAAATAATTCAAAATATTAGAATCTTCTAAAATATTTTTTTACATCACTCGATGCCCTAGTTATGACCAAAAAAAAATGATCATCATGGTCGACACAAAAGGAAAAACTTTAAGGGGCACATATTCATCTAGAATGTGTTTCAAAACCTACATTGCCCTAACCATCATCCATCTCATTCAACCATCCAAGTTTGGCTATATTAATCCATCTTCAATTGTACCTCCTTAACAAACTAACATGAAAGCAACAATTTCACAAAGAAAGCTCCTTAAAATATAGGTTTGCTCATACCAGCCATCCAAGGAACAAAGCTACACCATTGAAAATGTAAAGCATAGAACTTTTCTGGCCATAGGCATCAAGGTACCTACATGCATTTACTGTTCAGTAGGACATATTAAACAAAAATAACTCAATGAATTTCCAGAAACATACCATCTTAGATTCACAAAGGGAGTCGTTATTTCTGAAAACAGAACCATAAGAATGTAATATTGTGCTTGCCCACTTATCAAAGATAGAACTATTGCGTACATGGACAGCACATGATGCAAGACCTGCAGAAGAAGACTATAGGTAAATTATAACGAGAGAAAACAAAAAACTTGTAGAGTCTAACTTAGTAATCCTGTGGGAGACTTACATATTCCACGCCGCCTAATGCAGGAAAATACCAAAGGATCATCCCCAAGTCCGTAAGAAAATAACCAATGGAAATCTGTGACGAGTTTTAGAAAAAGGGAGGCATAGGTCAAATGGCATGAGTAGAATTACACAGAAAGTAGCCCAGTTATCCTAGCAGATTTCTTACAAGATAAGTCACAGATTCCAAACTAAGATACATCAAGCTCCTTCAGAAAAAAGATAAAGCCGAAAGAATTTTTTATCACGAGCTCAGAGGACAGAAACAAAAGAGCAATTTTATCCTAGGGCAAATAATGATTTTGACAGTCAATTTGTACTACAATGTTAGAAATTTAACTTGCAATTTTATCCTAGTATTTCTTTAACAATTTTATCCAAGTATTTCTTAAATCTTTCTTATTAATCATTCCTCTCAAATTATTTCTCTCTTATTTGTCTTGATAGACATAGGAATTCTCATTTGTGTTAAGACTGTAATTACTTGTGTTTTTAAGGAGAGCTGGCGAGTGTCATTATTTTATAAATCATTTGAGGCTTACATTTAGTGGACCAGATTCTATCATATCTACAATGGAAATAGGCTTTTTTTAAGTTGAATCACACAAATTTAGTTTCTTTGCGGCTGCTTTGTATTACATTTTATTAGGTAATGCTTCCTATAAAAGCCAAACATTTTTCCTAATAAATAGTATCAGAGCAAATATTTTATGATAAATTCAATAGAATGAAGTTTGAGACTAAGATGTTGATGATTTAAAAACTTGGCGGAGTAATAGATGACAGTAGGGGGACAAGCTATGAAACTTTGCTTCCAAGAGAAGAGTTTTTGTCCAATTCCCCTGCCCAATCCTCTAAGTTGGAATAATACAAGGTGCTACTTACAGGAGCAAACACAGTATCAATTTGATAAGAAAGATCAAAAGCGTTTTATGGTTTGGAGAACCAAGATGCATGGTGTTCTAATTTGCATATAATTATGAATGAGACCATGAATGAAAAAGACAAGAGTGAGATGGATTTGGGAGGAATTGGAGAATTTTTGAGTGAGTTTATTCCAACACGCATACAAAATTTGTACAACCTCAAAAAATTTTAATATGAAATATATCAAATCAAAGACAAAAAACTGAAATAGAATTAACCAAAAAATATTGCAATGGATGGACAACCCTTAAAGATTCCTTGTACAATCACGTAGCTCCCAAGAATTGGTAATATAGCTGCAACAATCTCACCAATCGATGAGGTGGCAGTGGAGAGGAAGGTATTTGCAGACCCTGGTGGGTAGAGAGTCCAGGGTGTGGTTCTAGGGACGATTTCTATTGGGCAATTCCACACTTTGCTCAAACGAATGTTATCCATTCCAAGTTTTCTTAAAAATATTTGAAAGATTATTCCTAATAATCTTTTGGTGAGTATGTCTGCAAATTATTCCTCTATAGTTAAGGAAATAAATATTAGATCAATGTTAAGCTTCTCCTTTCAAAAATATATTTCAACTTCAATATTCGAATTCCAGTCATGTTGTGCAAAATTATATGCAAGATTGATAGATGACTTTTTATCACAATGGCGCCTCATAAGAACTCAATCAAACTTCAAGGGGCCATTGGGTTGAACAAAAAATTAATGCAAAATAAAATGGAATACAATGTAAAAGGAAAGCATGTATTTGAAATGTTTGGAGTTTGTTTGAATAAGTATAAAATAAATATAGTTGATTAATTCTCTTGTCCACGCAGTATCAATGGCAATCAACAGCAAGAGGTGGGCGACAAGTTGCAATGACGACGGCTTGCAACAATTATGGCAAAGCATTACAATAAGTTTGAAAATTGACCAAATCCAAATACAACAACATTTAACTAGAAGGTGAATTCTAAATAATTTAAATTTTTACTCTGTATTTATTTTGCTTGAGACCAAATTTCAATATTTTCAAAGCCCCTAAATTTTAAATACTTTACATCCATTTTACTTCAAACCAAATAGCCTCTACATCATCTAGGATAATTTTTCATTTTAACAATTCATTAATTTTCAATACCATATATCTAAATTTAGCTAGCATGCTAAATCTTGCTACCATATTTTATTTTTTACTTCAAATCATGAGGTTGTTTCCAAAGAAAGTACAATACCATAAAATTGATCTCTTGCCTGCTATAGAACCTGCATAACATGCATGTGTGTATGCTACAAGAGTCAAATTTTATCCTTTAAAGTTACCATTCTATGATTCCATTACTACTCATACCTCTAATTGCTAAATAATATTTGTCATTATAATTATTATTGAAATAAAAAGCCAAGTATTGCTATTTATTTACAACTTAAAGATGATAACTAGCATGCATATTGTTAATCTTTCTTTTGAATTACTGCAACTTAAGAGTTTTCAATAAACCCATTGAATTATATTCATGGCTCACCCCAATTAGTTGAGGCAAATTCCAAATATAAAAAATAGATGTAAAAAGGGGTTTTACTTACAATAGTTGCGAAGCATCTAATATTAGGCACTTGCTTACTTTTGGTAGATATATATAATAGTTTAAATATCTTTCTTTCAAATGTCTATTATAAATCATATTAATTGTCTCAATATGTATAGGAACGTCCTCATGATGAATGAAAATTTTGGTTTAGTGTCTTTTTTGTGATATTAAAAATCTTATGAATAAAATAGAAAAGGTTGGCTTTAAATTATCTATGTAGGAAATATGTTAAGCTTCAAACTTTTGTTTGACCATCTATTTCTACCTCGATGCTCTGAGCGCCAAGTATGGGTCATAATAATCTCTGATTACATAGTATCATCTAAAATTTGCTCCAAATTATATGTTCATGCCTAAAACAAATATAGTGGAACTGCATCCACCATGTATGAAGATTCAATTTGATCATTTATATGCTTAGGGCTACAAACGAACAATGTTTGATGAGCAACTCGTGACCCGGCTCGAGTAAAGCTCGTTCGTGATCGTTCAATCAAGTAATTTATAATATTATTTAGTTATATTTTACGGGCTCGTTTCATAGCCCAAAAACACTGGCTAGATATGTTCGTGAATGGACTTATTTTATAGTTTGAAAATCCTCACTATATATATTCGCAAACAAGCTCCTTTGGTAGCTTGAAAACACTTGTAGATATGTTCGTGAACAAGCTCATTTGGTAATTAGAAAATGCTCACTAGATATGTTCCCAAACACTCAATGTAACTGTTTTTTTTTAGTAGGCTTGATAAGGCTCGTTAGTTAAGCTAATGAACATCTTGAAGTAGAGCTCATTTATAGCTTGATAAGACATGTTTGTTTAAAGCTCGATAAGCAATAAACAAATCAAACATGAACATCAATTAATTTAAATGAACCAAGCTTGATCACAAACCCAAATGCTCGAATCAAGCTCGAACCGAGTTTGAACAAGTCGATAATAAACAAACTCAAATATGAACAAGCATCTGCTCAGCTCGGCTCGTTTAAAACCCTATATATGTGATAGGACAAACCAAACATGAACATCAATTAATTTAAATGAACCAAGCTTGATCACAAACCCAAAAGCTCGAATCAAGCTCGAACCGAGTTTGAACAAGTCGATAATAAACAAACTCAAATATGAACAAGCATCTGCTCAGCTCTGCTCGTTTAAAACCCTATATATATGCTCATCGTATTTTTGAATATACGGATCAATAACATATGATTTATTCAGAGATGAGTCAAATTTGAAATATTCAAAGCAATTGTGCCAAAAATTTTGCAAAAAGAAGACTGAGGATGAATGTCTTCACATTCAACATTTTGCTAATAACCACAAAAGCCAATTTAAAGCCTTTATCTAGAGAAATAGCAATGTCCATTTTTACCAAAACTCTTGTCACAGATGAACCTAAAAATGTGAGCGATAATAGCATCTGTTTGCAAGGGTATGTCAAAGATAAAACCTACGAATATAATGAAGGGTGGTTGAAGAACTATAGATGAAGCCTATGCAAAAAAAAGCAAACCATAGAGATGTAAGATTCCATGGATAAGTCAAAGTAAATATATCATTTTAGCATGTGCATCAAAAGCTGCACACAGAGTAGGATCGTTATTAGAAGAGTCTAAAATAATATGTTGCAACAAATAATCTAATAATAATATGATAACGATCAAGAAGCCCAATATAATATTCTCCAATCAAATGTAAATCTAATATAAATATGTGACTAATCTCAAAACTAGGAATCCCTATAGAGTACTTGCCCACTATGAAGAAAGAGAATAGAGTGGCTAGCTCAGAAATATTGAATTCAATAAAAACAAGAGCAGATTTATCATAAAAAGTGGAGGATTATTTGGGCTGAGGAGGATCTACTCCTTACTCAAAAAGAGAATTGGATAGACAAAGCCCATCGAGATCCTGATACCATTAAACCACCCACCCAAAAATAAATAAATAAATAAAATAAAAACCTGAAAAAAAAAAAAGAGTAAGCAGTGCTGGCAATTATAGAACCAACAGCAATAGGCGTTCAAATAACAAGCAGCAGAATTGCAAGGGAAGGGGAGCCACGGGAATCAATTAAGGCGAAGAAATAACCCTATCAGCCAAAACAACCAAAGAAGAAATCAACGCAAAGGTTGGTATGTGTACAGAAAAATAATTCAGAGATAGGGGAAGTGAGGAAGCACAACATTAGACAACAGATATAAAATAAAAATTGAAAAGCTACAAGATAGACCAAAATAATAAGGGCACTACCCTACGTGCCAAAGACAAAGATAGCACAAACGCAAGCGTACCAACCAGAGGCTACTGTGCCCTGAAAAAAAGGTAAAATGCAAGGGCAGTAGAGAGAGAGCGTCAGCAAAAAAGGCACAGCACAAGAGCGAAGGGGGATGAGCAATCAAGGGCACAAAATAGAAGCTATGGCAAGAGAAAGGACAAATAGGCGAGCACTACACACGAGTAAGAGGGCCAAGAGCATGAGAGCCATGCACATGGACACCAGAATGTGAAGACGGTTGGCAAGGCTAGAGGAAGCAATTGCATGCACGAGTACAAGATGGAGTTGAAGC